GGGGGCGGGGGGAGGGAGTGTGTTGTGGGGCGGGCGAGGAGCGGACTTTCACAAGTGAGCGGGGTGCCTCCCGACGGCTCGTCTCTTGGTGGAGCCGACCCATCTTTGGGAGTTTTTTTTTTTTTTTTTTTTTCTCTTTCTGGTTTCCATCTGGGGGAAAAAGAAAACAAAACGTACAAACAACCCCCCCCCACCTCCCCCCCCCCCAAAAAAAAAAAAAAAAAGACGGGCAGGCAGACGGTGGGACGAGCGCTCACTTGCCCTTTTCTGGCCATGTTGGGCGGGGGTGGGGGGTCTTGCCACGGGCGGCGGAGGTCGTGCGGGTGGCCGGTTCGTTTTCTCTCGTGGTGCGGGCCTGCCGTCTTTGCCGCCCCTTCCTGCTTGGGACCGATCCCAGCTTCCCGGTTCTCGGGTTCGGGCCGCTCTGTTCGGGCGAATCTCGTCCTGGTTCCTGGTTTCACTTTGGTCGCTGGCGGCGGCGGCGGCGGCGGCGGCGGCGGCGGCGGCGGCGGCGGCGGCGGCTCGATCTCGGTCTAGGTCTCTGGTGGCTCTGGTGTCGTTCGTGAGGTCGCAGAGAGGGACCCGGCTGCAGGTCCTGACCTAGGTTGTGCCACTCGGTGCGTGGCGGTGGTGAGTGAGGCGATTTGTTTCCGTGTTCTGTGTCTCCGGAGCTCAGAGCCGGCCGGCGCGCGCCGATCCGGGGTACGGCGGCTCGGTGGAGTCGGTCGTTGGAAGGCGGTTGTCGTGCTCCCCCTGGCGTCCGCTTTGATATGACAGTCCCCTCGTTCTCAGCCGAGCGAGCGAGTGGAGGAGGAGGAGGTCTGGCGGCAGCGAGCCGGGCGGAGGCCCGGCCTCTGCCGGGTGCCGGGCGCGACTGTCGCCGTGGTGTCGCTGTGGCGCCGGGGCGGCTGTTCTGTCGGACTTTGCGCCCGCAGGCGAGCGCGGGGTGGGGCCGTGCGTCGCCGCTCTCTCTTCGGTGCCCGGTCTGTGCGGGGGGTGGCAGCTTTGTCGGGTCGACCAGTAGTTCTGTCTGGGCCCGACGCCTTGTCCTCCTCCCCTCCCTGGACTCTGGTCTTTGAGGGCGAAAAAAGGAGAGTACGAGGGACGTCTCGGGAGTCGGGGGAGAGGGTCCCCGGGTGAGCCGATAGGTGGTGGGGCCGGTCCCGGCCCGGACTCGGACCCCCCCCCCTCCCCGGAGTCACCTCCGAGTGAGCGCTTGGCGCGTGCCGGGCGCGAGGGCCTGGGTCGCCGGCCCCGTGTGGTCTCCCTCCACGGCCTCCTCCACGGCCCCGGAGGCCGGAGGACAGACCTCTCCGGCGGGAGGAGCCGTGGGCACGGCCGAGGCGAGCCTCGGGGCCGGGACCTACGCCCCCCCCATCCCCGACATAGGATGGTCGTCGGAGTCACCTCCGAGTGAGCGCTTGGCGCGTGCCGGGAGCGAGGGCCTGGGTCGCCGGCCCCGTGTGGCCTCCCTCCACGGCCTCCTCCACGGCCCCGGAGGCCGGAGGACAGACCTCTCCGGCGGGAGGAGCCGCGGGCACGGCCGAGGCGAGCCTCGGGGCCGGACCTACCTACCATCTGCGGGGACTTGCCCGGTGGGCCCTGCGTAGGGGAAAACTCGAGGCGGAGGGAGCACCTCGGGAGTCGGGGACCCGAGCCCGGGAGTCCCGGGTGTGTGCGTGCTGGCGGCAGGGCGCTCACCACCGACCCCGCGCGGTGTGGGTGTGGTGGTTGGGTGCCTCTCGGAGTGGGTGCCTCGCGTCTGCCGGGGGAAGGCTCCCCGTACCGCCCGTGCGGTGAGCCCGTGCACACCCGGGGTGTGTGCCTGCGAGGTAGTGGGGCGGGAGCGTCCCTTGACCCCGCTCCCGCCCTGGCTCTTCGTCTGTCTTCGCCTTATGTGGTCGACCAGCTGTCCCTGAGAGTTCCGTGTCTGGCTCTGTTGGGGACGTGTTGGGGACAGGTGTCCCTGATGTGGTTTCCGAGAGGTCCCTGTCGCCAGCGAGTTGTCGCCCCTGCCTGACGACCTGGTTTTGGCGTGGTGACGTGAGGATTTTGTACCTGCAGGAGGGTGCTGGCATGCTGTGTCCCGGTGGCTGTCAGCGGGTCTCTGGGGGCTCTCTCGGATGCTGTGTGCCGGGCCTTTCCCGTCTCTTCCCGGTCCGGGTCCCCCTGTCCTTCCCCTCACACCCTGGGCTCCCGCTGCCCTGGGCAGGCCCTGTGTCCCTGTGGTGGCTCGTGGGTGTGGTGGTGGTTGGCGGCTGAGTGAGTCCCGTCGTCCTTGATCTCTCCCCCGCTCCCGGTGCCGGATTCTGGCCCTTGCCTCGGCACGCTGAGGAGGAGAGTGGTTGGTTGCCTGGGGTGTGCATAGGTAGGGCCCGCACGGTGTGCTTCCCTCGCCGTGGCCGGCTTGAGGAGGAAAAAGGGGGGGGGGCCGCCGGCCGCCGAGTCCGGACTCTTGCGTGTGCGGCATCCCCGTTCTGCCGTTGGGCTCGCCCGACCTCCGTGACTTTTTTTTTTTCCTTCCTCCTATCGCCCCTAGCTCCAACTCCCCCGACCTGCCGCTTCCCGATGGCGGGCCTGGTCGGCCGCTGAGCTGCGCTACCTCCCGAGCGCTGTCCGTGGCTTTTTTTCTTTTTCTTTTTTTTTTTTCTTTTGTTTTTCCTCCCTTTCTAGCTTCTTCGGTCCTGTGCCCGGCAGAGGTGTCCTGGTTATCCCGGGGTGCCAGGGACGCTTAATCCCCGTGGTATTTTTTTCATTTTTTTTTTTTTTCTTTTTCTTTTTACCTCGCTCCTTACTCACGGAAGGGTGTCTGTCCTGGCTACGCTTTTATCCCCCGGCTGTTGGCCCTCTCAGGAGCCGAGCTTCCCTGGGCCACCGCCTCCCGAGTGCCGCGTGGCTGCCTTCTCCCACCCCCTCGGTGTGATTGATGTGGTGACGTTGCGATCTCCTTCGGGCCCGGGCCTAAGCTGCGCCAGGCGAGGGACGGACATTCATGGCGAATGGGACCGCTCTTCTCGTTCTGCCCGTGGGCCCCTGCCCTCACCCGTCCCACCGTGCCGGCGCCGGTGGTGTGCGGGGAGGCGGGGGTGCGGCAACCGGGCCCGGCTGCGCTCTCCCTGCCCTCGCCGTGAGGTCGGGGACTTGTACACGCTGGAGGAGGGGGGCGCCCTGATCTTGCTCCTCTCTTCCCGTGACTCGTTATCGGCACGGGGGTCGGCTCTCTCCGCGGAGAGGGAGGGTCGGTGCTCCGTGCTTGCCCGTGCTGTGTGGTGTGAAAAACCGCGCCTCGCGCTCTGCCCTCTTGCGGTGCTCCCGGAACGCTCCCGGTTGGTTCTCTCAGGTGCCTGAGGCTGAGTGGTGGTGTCGTTCCCGATCCTGGCGTTGTCCGCTGCCTTGTGCCAGCCTGCTGCCCGTGGTGTGTCCCGGCCGTCCTCGGGTTCGTGGGGCTTTTGTGCGAGTGAGAAGTTACCGTTGAGATTGACGTCTCTGCTTGGGGGGGGGGGTCGAGGCGGTTCCCCAGAGGAGCGCTCTTCCCTTGTTGCGCTGGCGGTGGCTTCCCCGCATGAGCTGCCGCCCTGGTCCTGGCTTGTCTTCCCTGCCGTGTCACCTGGCTTTCATCGCACCGGGGGACCTGAGATGTTGCAGTGGGAGGCGAGCGGGGCCCGTGCGGGCTTCCCGCCCGTGGTGCGCGACTTTGCTCTGGCCCCGCACGGCAAGGCCGACCGACCAGGGTTGGTGTTGCTGCTGCCGCAGACCCCCCCCTGTGCCCCACCCCTCCCTGCCCCCCGTGGTGGGAAGGATGGACGCCTCTGATGTGTGCTGGTTCCCGGCGGGGTTCCCGTCGGGGTTGGGTGCGGGCCACCCTCAGAGTGAGGAGAGGTTCTCTAGCGATCCTCGTTCGGGAAGCGGGCGTGCGCTGCTGGGTTGGCGGGGGCCCGCCCCCGATGGGCTCCCGCGGCCCTGCCGCTCCCTGCCCCGCTTTTGAGCGCTAGTGGCTGCCCGCGTCGGTAAACTGCGTGCCCGCGCCTCCCCCCTCCGAGCTGGGGGAGGGTCCCGCGGGACCTCTCCCGGGCCGTCGTCTGGTGTGGTGAGTGGAGGACGTTCCCGATCCGTCCCCGCCCCTGCCTCGCGTGCGGTGTGTCGAGTGGCGGAGCCTGGAGCCCGTGCCGGGTCGCGATGCGAGGGCGTGTGGTGTGTGGCTTCCCGGCCTCGTGCTTGGGTTGCCGTGGGGTTTTTGGGGGTCCCGTCCCCCCTCCCCCTCCGGCCCCTGGCGACGCTGTTCCCGAGCGTCTGTGTGGGCCGCCGCCCGTTGGCGACGACGGCGCCGTGCGGGCGCTGGGCCCCGCGGTGTTCCGGGGCCGCCGTGCCCGTGGTGGTGCGCCGCTCGGGGGGGTTCTGGCCCCCCGGAGCCGAGGATCCCGGTGTGTGTGGGCCCTTGCTCACGCGGCCGAAAAAGAGGCGGTCGATGATGGGTGCTGTGCCCGGCGGTGTGGTGTGGATGGGAGGCGGTGGGGCCCTGCTGGCGCGGGCGGCTCCGCGGGCGTTCACGGGGTCTTTGAGGTGTGTGCGAGAGCTGCCTTTACCCTCTCGGGCCTCTTTTGGGGGGGCCCGCCGCTGCCGCGGTGGGGGGTTTCCCGGTCCGCTGGTCGGCCGGCTCGGTGTCCCAGGCGTTGCGCGGGACCGCCCCGGAGTTGGGGGTGGTGAGATCCCGCGTTCGTTTACCTGGCGTGGCCGGCTGTGCCCGGAAAGGTCCCACCTCCCCGTTGGTCTGCGGCTGCGCCACCCGCCGTGTGAGGGGGGTGGCCGCTCGCTCACTCGCCTCTCGCCCCGGTGACCCGACCCGGTGACCCTCCCGCTGCTCTTCTTGTTGTGCTTCCGGCGTGCCCTCCTCACCCGCATCAGCCTTCCGCGATCCTCGCCGGTTTGGCCTGGTGGCCGGCCACCGGCGGACGGTCGAGTCGGGCGTTGTGTTGGTGTTCTCTTGGGGGGGGGGACGGCGCTCAGCTCGTGAGGCTGCTCCCCCGGTGTGGGGGAGGCACGTCGTCGCGGCGGCGGTGGCTTTTGAAGGGTCTTCCCGGATCGGTTTTGCTCACGACGAGGGTTCCTGCCAGCGGGACCGCCGGTACGCCACGGGGGCGATGGTGGTGAGATTCCCGCGTGCGTCCCTCGCTCGGGAGTTGGCCGTCCGAGGGGCCCGAAGCCGGCGTC